GTAAAGTAATAAAGCAGAAAGCTGTGAAAAGTCACAGTGAGATGAAAGGCACTAGGAACTAATGAAGAATCTGGGAATCATAGACCCTTCTTATAACATCACTAAAAATAGTCACACTAGGTGAAAATAAGTTACATTAAGACTGCAGACCCCTGGCTTGTACACATACCATATTCCTTCCTATTTCACAGCCTCTCGTTTAAAACAAAACTTAATATTCAATATAAAAACAGCTTTCTGCACCACTAGCTGCTGCCTCAATATTGTTTTGTCTCTATAGAAATTTTACACTGCATTAGCAAGACCTCTTGTAGAATATTGTGTACAATTTTGGTTACCACTTTACCAAAATAGACATTGTTACTCTGGAATTGGTCTAGGGAAGCGTGAGAAGCCACATTTATGGACTTGAAGAAATGTCCAACACTACCAAAGTAAAATCATTTTTTCAGGTCCAGAAAACCTGATTCTGATATTCAAAATTCTCAAATGCAATGATGAAGTCAACCGAATGGACTTCAGAATCAACAGTGAAAGGCAAACCAAGGCACACAAGAAGATTATAGGGAAGTGCATTTAAAAATCAGAAGAGAAGGCACGTCTTAACTTCTGGGAGTCTGGAACAGGCAACACATTTATGTTTTAGGAGCTGAAACCCTGGCATATTTCAAGAAATGGGTGGATGAAATCCTTGGACCAATTAGCTACTACTGTAGGAACCTAACAAGCTACAGAAGGTGGGTCAAAGAGCTTCCTCTCATTTGTCATCTTTCTAATGTTCTTAGGTTCTTCTTTGCTTTGTAGAATGCATTTTTAATAACGTGACTCCGCTTGATGGAACTCATGTAACTTTTAAGAGCCATTTTTTGTTTTAGTTTTAGTTGTTTCTCCGTAATGCCAAGCTTTGAAGGGAGAACATATTCCACATTAAAAATATTAATAATGGATAGCTAATATTTCCCAACGCTGACTTTATTGCTCATTCTTAATTTCATGTACCATAAACTCAAGAATGGGATTATTATGTTTTCAGCACAAAAAACATTATGTCTTGAATTTGGAATAGGTGAGCTGTTTTATTAAAGCCCTAGATCTACAGTACAGTAGTGATAACTGTAATTTCTGAGTTTATTTTCACTGGATACCTCTTTTAATATCAGAATGCATAGCAGTGGACTTTAATTTTCTAGAGCGAAGCCTTATTTAGAACTCAGGGAAGCTCTCACTTCCACTGATATAAACCACTCACCCTGATTCCTTTGTAAGTGTTATAGCTTAATATCACATCCTGTAAGCGAATATCATTGTCATTCATTACAGCCTTGCCTTTTTAACATCTGATAAAGCAATGCAGAACACAATATTTCTTTACAGCTGCTTGAAAAACTCTGAGACACTGCACTAGTGACATATTATCTATTTCCTACTACTTCAATAATGAGATTGACTGTTGCATCTTTACATTACGTGGTGAACTGATATGGTTGTTGTTTTAATATTTGTAGTACTTCTTGCAGGAATAAGAAAAAAAGGAAGACAGCAGGTAAATGAAGAAAACATGATTAATGATTATAGGATTTCTAGTGGACTCGGGGTGCTTAGTACAGCAAATTATAGCCTGGCTGCCTGTGCATTCTGATTCTGTTTCTGGCGATGAAAAGGATAAATGAAACTCAGGCAGTGTTGAAAATAGAATAGGCTGAGGCAGACATCTGGAATTCACAAATGGAAGATCTAGCAGGGCATCAGCACATGACTGGTTTAGCAAAATGGGACACTGAACACACAAAAGATCCTATTCTATGACACATTTGTCTAATAAAATACATCAGCCTTGTGAGACCTCTGCAAACAAAGTGAGTTAGCATAGAACAATCTTAGTGATACACTCATCAATAATCAATTAATAAAAAGAACTGTGCAGCTATTTGTCGATAAACAATGATGGAAAACATAAGATCTGGTTATATTTTGGTATTTATTTTCTTTGTGGTATAATTACTGTATGTATTTATGTAATTATGCCTATATATGTAATCAAGAGTCATACTGTAAGATCTTCTATAGTACATTCCCTTAAGACTAATGCAATCTAATGATAGAGAAAGGAGCAGAAGCAGTTCTTTGTTGTTTACCCCACAAAAAATCCAGTTTACCATCTAGTGTCTTTTTATGGTGTACAAAATGAGCTACATAAAAACAAATTAATATACTGTAGCATACTGTATTTCTACATGTAATGGTCTGGCCATGCTCTGGCAATTTTATGCATGTCTTCCTTTAAGCCATTAGAGCCATTTGGTTGATGTCTTAACTGGATAATTCCTTTCCCATGAAAGAAAGCAATGGAACTGGATTACAGGTCAGATGAAAAAAAAAATTGGTCCAAACTCTCTTAGAAAATGTGTGGCTCTAGACATGAGGAATATGCATAGTCTGAACTGTTAAATGTGGTGGTCGAGTTTAACTCCGACAATTCTGAAGAACAGCAGGAAAGTTTTAAAGCACTGTGCTGCTCTTTAAATGACATTTATTCACCAGCATTGAGTCCTAAGAGAAATGAGCTTACACCATACACAAACACACTGTTAACATGGAAACAAGGCAAGATGAGCAGGAAAACATTCATCAGAAGCCTGTTAGCATTGATCTTTCATAATAAGGCGTGATGCAGTAAAGAGCAAAAAATACATATTAATCATTTGCACTTTTAAGCATTAATCTCACAATGTGGTCTACACAATACTTGCTGTTAGGACAAAAAAATGCAATGATGCATAGTATTGTATTATTTGTATACAAGGTGTTTGAAAAATTGTTTCATTTCTAGTAAATCATGTACATTTCCTAGATCTTGTTTATATTATATCTGTCTGTAGGCCTAAACATTGCAATCTCTAATAACTCGTAACATTTGTTCTTTAAATCGTAGTTTCATAAATGCCTTTTTTAACTAAAAGGTTAGATACCAAGTGCCACAAAGCTAAAAGTGAAGATCTTATCTTATCTTTGCATGGATGTGTACTTATCTCTAAAAACACTTGAAATCTCTAGACTGCATTTACCAAAGACGTGTTGTGTACAGATTCCTAGAATTAGTTTTGCTTGTGAACCCTTAGTTATTTAATTGTGCTTTCCTTTAAATATTCAACCACAGATTGGGTTTCATGAATATACATTATGATGATAGCAGTCAATACAACAAATCGAGTCATGGAAGTACAGTTCCTGCCCTGAATATGTTGAATTTCATTTACGATGATTTTTTTTCTTATGCAAAATTCATATTTGTATGTATTTTTCTTTGCCATCTTCCCCCTAAGAAAACCTGATATCCTGTAATTGCACAGTCATTTCAGCTGTATTTCCTGAATATTTACAAGTATTTACAAGTAATCATTACATCATTTTTATTTTGCAAGCATACTGGCCAACGGGACCATTTGCAGTTTGCACCATTTTCTGTGCTGAGTTACTGTTCTTAGAAACTCAGAAATGTTTGTTTAGAAGTTTTGTCCTACATTTTCCAGTTGTAGAAACAATACCACAAGTATACAGAATGTTTAGAAAACATCACTAAAAATGAAAATAGAAGAAAATCCTTGTTCTACATTTAAAAAATGAATTGATATTTTGCATGAACTTGACAATAAGCAAAAATCCAAAGAAACGAAAAGTACTTCAAAAGCACTATTTTATGAATTGTATCTTTTGGTGTTGATTTTTACAAGTACTCAAAGACCAAGTTCTTTTTAGATTTCAGTTCCTAATGCATAACAAAAAGAACTCATAGGATTATATTTAGGCAATGCTGCAATGGGATTTTTGCTAAATTGACATGTTATTCATTCATAATTCTAACTGTTAATAAACATTCATGCGCTTATTCTTCATACTGTACATCTAAAGTTATAGATATATTGATATACTGCCTTTGGACTAAATTATAACTCCCTGGGCGCCTTTTTGATGAAGAAGAAAAATAGCTATCATCATGCACTGTCATCAGAAACAGTTTAATGTAGAAGCTGATACTCTAAATCCTAATCCCGATTTGCCTATATAGTGCTCTGTTGCTTTAGGCTGTTTGTTTTATTGATCCCAGAAATAATAAGACAGCCTTACTCCATAAAGTCAAAATGAAAGCAATGGGAGAAATCCTCCTTTCCAATAACAGCATTTCCTGTCCAAGTGTGTGTTCTGTGTACGGCGTCTGAAAAAGATGCAGGAGGCGCCTCAATGGCATTATTTGCTACCGGATTGAAACATTGTTTAACATATTATTTTCAGCTTTCACCTCGTGTGCTGCATTGAATAGAGTGAAACATTGTTTTCCTAAAACAAAAGGCAAGCAAAACATTCATCCTCATACTACTAAAACTGTTTTAACAACGAGCATGGATGTCACACGAATGTAACACAGTATTCTATTCAAGAAACAGTTATAATTTCTATATGTAGGAATTTTATATGAACAAGTGAGTTTAGCAAGAAACGTTTGAGACGGGGGCGCTAAAGCTGTATTTTTTCATGTTATTTATTCCGGAGGCAAATATAATAAACTTTAGGACCAGACCTTTCGGTGTTTTTATTGCCGCTGCGCACGGTAGTATCGACAGCGCCCATGGGCGTAATTAAATACTATGTTTAGGCGTCTCAAACCATGACGACATTTACCAAAACTGACCATTTCAAGCTAAGAATAGAACAGAAAGTCCCACCAAAGCCAGACATAGTTTATTTTCACAGTGTTTTTTTAGATGTGTTTAATTAATTTATAACATAAAATTAATAACATTCTGTTTACAATTTGTACTTGATTTTGCTTCGGGATGCCATATTGACGGGAATGTTTAAATCCATTAAGTGTTTTTAAGACGTATTATCAATAATGTATAAGGATGTAAATGTACTGTATAAACATGTAAACCTGTGAAACTCCAAAGCCGCCTACTGGACTTCTTCTATTATGACAACTATCGTAGTGTATCATACTGTATTGAACATATGAAGTTGGCTGTACATGTCTGTGGTTAGTACCTATTTGATTTCCTTACAAAATAAATGGCAAACAAAAAACGTAAAATAATAATACTGATGCTTGAGGGTCTTGATGTTTTCTAGTTAATGAAATGCTGCTTTAAGGCGGTATCCACTGAAATCAAATCAGTTTTATTCTCGTGGAAATGGAATTATGAAAGTACTAAAACCATACTTCTGTTTGTTAAGGAGGTGTGAATATGCAAACGCCGCTCAATGTAGTTATTCAGACAGAAAATCTGGCACGGAAACCGGACAAACTGGAGTCTGTAACTGACATGAAAACGTGATGCTTAAATGATGAGGTGCCGTGGCGCTTCAAGCCGATCTGATCTGGGATGTGTCCTCTGATGACGGCAGGCAGAAGAGTTTCATGAAAAAGGTCGGTCGGTACCTGTTGACAGCGCAAAAAAAGCAGGACAGCAGCAGGAATTGCGAATGATAAATCAAACTTCAAACACTTTTTAAAGACGTAAGCCGGTAACCGGAGTTTCAGGCTGTTTCGGATACAACATCCGGACACACATTGAAGGACTCATAGCATCACTCGTTTAGAAGCGAACAACCCAAATAGAAAGGAAAATAAAGGAAGCTGGACAAGCAACAAGGGGTTAAATGGATTTCCCATCCTCGGAGTGGCTTACAGAGGTTAGTTATTGTGGTGCAGAGCCTCTGGACGGCGCGCTGCTACGGACAAACGTCTGACCAACTTCTTCTTTACTCATTCAATCACTCCCAAACATAAACAATGGCGGAACGGAGGAGCCAAACCGAATTACAGTTGGAAGGCAACGAGCTATAGAAATAAGAAAGGGGGGAAAAAAAGCTTTTTTCATTGCTGGTGCACTGGCACCCCGGAGATACAAGCAATATGGAAAGCCCGACCGAAAACCCTAGCAAGGCTGCGGAGTACCTGAAGGAGCTCAACAAAATCATCGAGACCCAGCAGGAGTTGCTGGAGAAGCAAAAGAATCGGATTGAAGCGCTTGAGCAGCAAGTGGCCGAGCTGTGTACGGAAAACGCCTGTCTGCAGGACGAGCACCAGCGGCTACTGGCCACTTTCCGGCTGCAACAGGGCAATATCCATCCCACGTTAGGAGCCATAGAGGAAAATGCTGCTCAAGAGAAGTAAGGGAATGCTCTTCTTAACCATGTCGCTCTGGTATGCTGGAGAGTTCAGCTCGAGGGGAAGAAACTCGAGTTTAAAGAATGTTCTCTAGTTTTTTTTTTAATATTGTCCGTTTATATGTTGGACGATGGCAAACTACTGAATATATAGTAGCCCAACTCGATATACTGTACAGTATGTTCAGCAGCATTTCTTAAGAGTTCATTCATAGGCAAATTGTCTGGAAGTTAACGCAACCCTCAGTCTGGTGGGATCTAACACCGTCCAGACTAATGGTAATTCATTTGTCAGGTGTTCTGGTTGAGGGTAAGCTCAGTGTCGTCGGGCAGCGCTTAATGGTTTCTGACAGCTGTTGTAATCTCTTCTTTGGAAATGAAACTTTGTTTGCGCGGAGAAAAAACATCCCATATTTGCTGCAAGCGTTTGGTTAATTGCTCATGATTTCTCAAAAAATCTTGAACAATCAGATACTGTTGGAGAATGTGCTTGAAAGCCGTTATTCTGATCTTGAGAAGTGACAGGAAAAACTGAGCGTCCACGTACTGTATTTGTATAGTATAGCGATGGATGCGTTACCCGATTGTACAGAGCACAATTCAGCTTCTATTCGCTGTATAAAACAATTTTAGTGTTTCTATTCTAGTTATGTTGAAAGGAGGGGAAAAAGTTGAAAAACAAAAGTTTGGGGTAGCCCTCATCTGCCCTAATGATTAGCTTGGAAAACACCGATACATGACATTTTCACGATGGTTCCTCCCTACAGTAGCCTATTATGACAGAAGAGACAAGCCTCCCTTAAATGTTAAGGGTTAACTCATATACGGTATTCTATACGTCTAAGGTGAAAGAATTACATAAAATACACAAAACATGTTTTAAAGCTTTTAAATGCGGCTTTAAGGGCGGCAGTTTCGTGTGAGCCACTCTTCAACAGCAGGCAAGAGTAGTATTTCAAACTGAATTCAGTGTTCGAATGGCGTTCTTGCGTGTGTTTGCAATAATTTGCTTGGTGACATTTCTGTGATTAACTGAAGGTTTTCTAAACGGCTCTGTTTCATCCTGGATGTGCAATACCTCCGCACTACATCGCTGTAACGTTGCTTCATGAGAGATAGTCGATGGGAGGTAAAACCGTATGTTGGAAAGGAGGCACACGGTAATTCATTACTCCCGGTAAAATCTTCCAAATCTTACCATTAAGCCAACGAAAACTGTTCCCATTCACTACGAACCTAATATTAAATCTGTTTTCCACAGAAATGAAATTTGCCATTTATAGATACGGAAAAGCACGGGCGTTAAAGTAGTTGGGGTGTACCCCCTGATGCTGGTATTGATGCTGTTGAATTCCGATTTCAATAGGATATCAGCTAGATTGAGTCAGACTCCATTGTGTAAAACATGGAACTCTGTTAATGGACCATCAGTCTCCTCAAGCAGATCTAAATTGAATTTTACGTTCATAAATGCATCTCTATTTTGTTTTGCATAGCAGTATATGTTCAAAAAGTTACAAGCAGAAGCATGATAACAAGATGAAAAGGCTATTAACGCGGTATCCCATTCTGCACTACACAATGTTCCCCTTTGACATTTTCCTTTTTTTATTAATCATGGATATCAGCCAATCAGGATAGTGTCTGTATCATAGCAATTCCGATTACGGGTTTGTTAAACAACGGATGCTAAACATTTCTTTTAATATTCTTAATTTAAAGCGTTAAATTAAATTACTGAATATTATTATCTGGGCTCCATATTTTCAGTTTGATCCTAATTATAAAAGATTGGTCTTTCCAAACTTCTGAATTCTGCAGTAAATGTGCTCCTAATTGGAAATTATTCTAACCTATTATATATTTTTTTAACAACGTCATATTCATTGTGTACTGTAACAGTGGGTTCATGCATCATGTCTGCAATATGCAACATGGTGAATTGTCTGTGCTGGCCAGAGCATGTTAGTCTTTTAAGTGGATTTACTGCACAGATAAGTATTAATCCGGGATATTTATGGAATGCACTATAAGCTTTTGGAAGTGGAGCAAAGCACATAAATTTCATTGAGTTTGACTATGTTGGGTACTGTAGCCAAGCAATGACATATAATTTTAATAACTTCTCAGACTATACAAGAAGGTGTTAATAAAAATGTGTTTACAGCGTGTATGTTAGCCCATGTGTTTTTCTTTATACTGCAAAAATCTCTTCATCTAAACTGACACAAGCCTCGTGTGGTATAAAGATAGTTTTTGCCATTTGTAGACACATCTGGATCATTACAGAAAACATTTGTAATTTATATGGGTTATTCTAGAGGCTCCTACCAAACAATACTGTACATGTATTTTAATAGATCGTTTTATGACAGCTTCCTCAAGTTGTAGAAGTTTATGAATGGGTCAGCAAATTTAAAGTCTCAACAAAAGCATACATTTCCATTACATGTGGTTTTATTACAAATATGTGGTTTTTGTTACACGCACCCAATTTGAATTCATGCCTGGGTCATGGCTAAGGACGCAGCAACAGCACGTGTGATAGAGACAGGAAGTGTGGGTTACTCGTTTTTTAATGCGTCACGGGGATGTGCCCTTATGGCAGATCGCTGATGAGACGAGAGGCGTGTTTCTCACCCACTGCCCCGCGATCCTTCAAGCGCCTGGGGCACCACAGGTGGCGCTAGGTGTAGAGACGACCCCGTCCAACTAATCCCAGCTTTCCTTCCAGGAGCTCAGCCTATCCTGCGCTGTTGTGTGAGAAGTCCCGGTCACGGTCTTAGTGACATAACCCAGACGCAAACCTGCAACGCCTGGGTCATTGGAGCTCCACTCGCCTTTGCTGGATGAGCCATTCGAGGACATAAATTTAATTTTAATCACCAGAGAGATGTCAAGTAAAAAAAAAGATGAGATCATATTTATGACTTAATGTTTAGTTCCTTCACATTTTGCCAGCTTTACAGTCACAGGAGTACCGTCATTTAGTTGATGTAATTTAGTCATATTAGCAGCATGTGTAAGAAGGCTGTCCATCAGTAAACTAAAGATTTGTCTATACAGTCAGGATACTGTTTAATCATATGGCCCTCAAATAACACCGTGATAATAATTTAATTTGGAACATAAGTCATAACACTTCTGTCAGTCCATAAATGTTAATTGTCACTTTCTTGGCAAGGGGAGTATACGTAATTATATTAAGAGTTAATTTAGAATGCCAAGAAGTCAATTTTTACTGGAAAAAATCATTCTTTATCTCTTCCCTATCAGTACATTTTCAGACATTCTTTCAAAGACAGTCTCACTAAAGTGGAGACCTGTAATTTGTGTTTTCCGAGGTTTTCTGATTCTTAACACCCAGGGTACCTACATTACCATATCTATTTAAATAATTTAAGGAAATATAATTAAGATTTTTGTAATTGAAGTAGCCATCTGAATCCTTGGCCTCAGTTTATTTTGTAGCTCCTTTTTCAAGTTTCTAACATGCCAGGTTATCAGACGCTCAAGTTTGTGCCTCTTTTTTCTCATTCTAATGTAATCGACATGTCAGACAGGGTGCCACACCTAGTACGTACAGTATATTGTTCTGCTTTTTTAGAGTGACATTATTGTTCTCTATTTTAATTCCTCTTCTCAGCTCACCAGATGTAAGATGTTAACAAACTGGCCTCTTTTACTATCTTAGTACTTCAATGATGTTCTATTTTTCCCTGCCTTTTCAGTTATTTTTAGCCTCAGTGGACAAACTTTAACAGCTTAGAAAACGGTGAATACACTTCTGTATTTGAAGGACCTTGAAGCAGTTCTTATGCAGTACATTCCTGATGCAAAGGTAATATGATATGCTGTGTCAGCATTGGAGTTGTTTACACAAATGGCTAGGATTATTCCACTCTGGAAGTCTGGGAACAAAAAAGATTCATCATCTGACACATTGTCTTGAAACTAAATCAGGAAATAATGTCATACATCTGTAAATTTTCAAAGTAATCATTTCAACAAAAAGGCAATGTGGAGTTGTTTAGAAAGTGCTATTTTGTGCCAGTGAAGTATATTTTGTAAAGAATGAGAATGTCTTCTTTTTGTTGACTGGAAGTAAGACAAGTTGTCCTTCACTTAGGTACAGCGAGTGGAAGACTCTTACACTGGGGGGAAAAAATGAACAAGACTACTGATAGCATAAAACAAAAGGTGAAGGCTGTTTCTTTTAGCTCGTGTGCATTGCTATATTATAAATCTGAAAGCAAAAATGCTATGAATGACCTGTTTTAGTCATATGTAATTTAAACAGATGGACAAGGCATGTGTACTTTTAAAGGTAATAATGATTTACTGCAGAAAAAGCCATTAGTACAACACACAATGTGAACTGCTTAACCTTAAGATATAATGTTCAATAAAACACTGTAGTCTTGCTGTTAACAGGAATGGCAGTTGTGAAAACCCATAGGTAATTTCTTTGAAATCCTCAAATAATAGTAATCAATAATGGTAATTCCTTAATATAGTGCATTTAATCCCAAAGAGTCCACTACTAGTGGACGGCTCCTTCCTGGGTCATACACAATAAGTGTTGTGCGCCAATGACCCCACAATACATCAGACTCAGTGGAGAACCTATGTCACCAATTAAACAGAGGCGGAATTATAGGTAGTCTAGATTGTGCACAATAATGAATTTAGCCAGTACACCTGAGTAACACCCATATGCTTATGAACAGTGCCACTGTGTCTTCAATTACCAAACAGTTAGGATCTTGTTTTAACAGCTTATCCAGAGGACAGCATCTCTTTGAAATCCTTTGCTGCCAGTATGGAGACAGGCGATACAGCACCACAGGAGGACATTGTCACCAGAGGAGGTCGTTGGTTTAAAAATTCTGATCTAGAGGGAAGTGCACCATATACAGGTCCACTAACACCACTGACGGCATCCCTCTGATTGTATTACGCCAAGCCCAGTCTTTCTTAACTTCTGAGATCTGCCGTGATTA